ACCTGTGGTAAGATGTATTGCCAAGAACTGCTCAATGGTCACTTAAACATTAGTACAATCATGGTTAGATCCAAGATAAGGTCATGATTCTCGACAAAAATTTTGACTCAATAAAAACGACTCGATAAAAGGGAAAAATGCAAATGAAAACGCCAAAATGAACAAACATTGTTAGTAATCCCCCCAGACTTAACTTGCACCGTCCCGGTGAAATCAAATCGGATTAAGAGAGGCATAACATGAAGTTCAAATGAAAAATTGAAAAGAAAAAGGTTTAGGATGATGTTACCAAATGTCGACCAATTTATAATGAAGATCAGTTCCGGTTTGGGTCATTCTACACTTCTTTAGGCAATATTGGTCGGTGAGTTTTTAATTTCAGGCCTTGGTTTCCGCCGGTTTGTGTTTTGGCCGAGATTGGTATATTCGGTCGGCCAAAATGTGGTGCTGTGAACTACAGAACAAACCGTCAAAAATTTCATGACCTATATTGAAATTTCATCGACCAACCTGGTATTTTATGCCTCTGGTGAAGTTTGGGAGCATTTACGAGCGGATTGAGACTTCCTTCACAAAATGGTCAAGTCGGCTCCGGGAAGGAGTTTCCTTGGCCATGTGAAGTTTGGCTCGTTCCTTTTCGTTTCTTCCTGCATAAAAGTGTTAGTTAAGCTCAAAGAAGAGTTTTCCAACCGGTTGGCGCGCTATGCCGTGATTTGGTTTTGTCGGCCATATTGCTTGCGCGCCATCGGCCAGAATGAGCTCCGTCGTCTATCTCATGATCCGTGATGATTTCTCCGTCCTATCTTTTGGATTTGCCGACCAAAATGTGATTTTATGGTCGCCTGTGAAGTTTGGTGGACTTTGGTCACGCCGTTTAGGAGTTGGCCGTAATTTGGCTCCTTGTGCGCGGTATGGCCGAGAGAAATGTCTGGATTGAATTTCTTCAATCCACTCGGGCCAATTGAGATTTTCTTCGACCGAATTGTTTTAATAACCCTCCTGTGTCATTCCCAAGTGGTGGCCGCCTTGTTTCGTGTGATGGCCTATGTATCTCCTTTTAACCTCCCTTTGGCCGCCATATGCATGTTGGTTTTGAGGTTGGTTATAGGTTTGCTCTATTTCTCCTTCCTGTCAAATGGTTAACTCCTTGCAAAACACTTGAAATCATGATTAGATGGTTTCTCAGATTGTGATCCTCAAGTGACCAACTTGAAGTTCACAATCCAAGAGATTAAAGCACAAACTATAAATTCTTATTTGGTCTTGGTCAATGATCCAAATTTCAAACTATAGTTCAATCTCTTGTAATTTCAGTGAGCAAATGAGTTTTGACAAGTGATTATGTATTCTTTCCAATCATCAAAAGTAAATCAAGTTAAACCATGAATATATTTGATAAAGTGCAATGGTTTAAACGATTTTTCAAGTGAAGATCAAGAGTGATTAGAAATGAATACTAGGTGAGAGTTTACTTACCTTTTGGAAGAGAAACGCCTTGTACAAGGGTGGGCTCATTGGGTGGGACACTTCCATTGTTTGGTCTCCTTTGGGTCTTCATCCTAAGAAAATATTTTTGTATTTTTGTTTGATTTTTGAAAAACTCCTGCAAAATAGAAATAATAGTTAAAAACCATATGGGTTGCCTCCCATAAAGCGCTTTTGTTTTAAGTCATTTAGCTTGACTCCTTTTCTTTCTTTCAATCGTGGTGAAGAGTGGCTGAAGGGCAAAGGATCCCTTTAGCTTCTCCATTCTCCGGTTCAGTGGCTTCTTGTGTGGTTTTGCGCCATAGTCATCTCTCACATCATCTTTGAAAACCAATGCCTTGGGGAAAAGCTTCATAGTTCTCTCAAGCTTCTCTTCAATGGATTGGTCACCTTTAAGCTCCGAATCTTTTGGTGTAAAGATTCTTATCTTGTGAAAGAGATTAGGTGCACCATTAGTCTCCTCTTCAGCTCCATATCATCAAAGGTTGGAAGTAAGATGGAGTTGATTCCTTAAAGACATTTTCATGCCTCGGCTCCAATGTTTTCTTCTTCTCCTTTGGTTTTGGGTAGCGCTCACTCTCTCTTCTTTCTCCATGCAGCATATCTTCTTTCTTAGGTAATGAGAGTGGCTTCTTCTGGTGGTAGCTTGGTCGCACTTGGCACTGACCTGAAATTTACACTTGGGAAAAAGATATCTTGCCGGATGTGGCCAAAAGATAGATGATTCCCAAAGTAGTTTAGGACCGCTCCAGCTGTAGCAAGGAATGGGGTTCCAAGAATCAGTTGATTCCTCTTTGAGCCTTCCCAAATCATGACTTGAAAGTCAGTTGGGACCGATCGACCCCCTATTTCCATCATGACATCTTCAAGCATTCCATAGGTTCCATGCACGATAGATCCGCGAACTCGACTCTTATCTTGGGGCTCTTGAATTCCTTGAATCCCAAATCTTTTGCAAGTGCAAGAGACATTAGATTAACATTAGCACCAGTATCACATAGGCAATCGTGGAGTTGAATGCCATTGATACTTGAAGTTATCACAAACTTCCCCGGATCTTCTTGTTTTTGTAGTGGCTTGCCTTCAAGTCTTCTCTTGTAAGCTCTTCTTGATTCCCAACTGTATCTCTCCGGTTTGTGCCTCTCCTTAGGCTCATTTTCTTCTTCTTCCCCTTGAGATAGTGTAGGAACAATTGTGCCATCTATAGATGAGACAACACTACAAAATTTTTGAGTGTTTACCTCATTTTGTTTCTTGGCCGCCTCGGCTGTTTGAGCGATTTGCACCTCAAGCTTTTGAACGTGAGTAGAGAGAGACCCAAACTTGCTGCTTAGATCACCAAACATGTGATCAAGCTTCTCATATAGGTTCTTGGTGATCAATCTCTGCTCCTCCATGTATTTCTTCAACGCCACGTCAACCTTCTCTCCGGTTTGGGTTGGATTTGTTTCTTGAGAAAAAGTGAATGGTTGCTTCACTTGGTACATCCCTCTTGGATAGACTTGTTGTGGCTTGGATTGGTATTGGCCTCCTTGGTACGCTCCTTGATTGGGGTAGACTTGGTCATTTGGATTCTCCACATTGTTGCTCCGGTATGATAGGTTTGGATGCGCGCGAAATGGTGGATTGAATCCTCTATTCCCATAGTTTCCTCCAATGTAGTTGACTTCCTCTAGATTCTCTTCAGCGCCATCTCTCATGAAATCCATAAGAGTGTCTTCATTTGTGGCTAGGGCATCTTCAATGGCGTGAACTCCTTGTCGGCTTTTAAGTAGTTGTGAAACCATGTTCCTTAGCTCCGAGATTTGAGCTGATTCTGATGAGCTCGTGGTCTTCACGCTTCTATTGTAGTCAGGGCATGCATTGGCATCACTAGCAGCGAGATTCTCAATCAAAAGCTTTGCCTCCGGCACCGACTTGGTCATGAAATTACCATTGCTCGCGGTATCGAGAGAAAGCTTGTATTTATGATCAATCCCATTGTAAAAGATGTTCCAAAGGTTACCTTCTGAAAAGCCATGGTTAGGGCAGCTTCTTGTGTACTCCTTGAATCTCTCCAAAGCTTCATAGAATGACTCCATTGAATCTTGCTTGAAACCAGAAATCTTGCTCCTTATAGAGTTGGATCTTTGCTTAGTGTAGAATTGGTTCAAGAAAGCTCCCTTGTATTCATTCCATGTTGTAATGGACTGAGGTGGTAAAGATTTTACCCATCTTAGCGCCTTGTCACTTAGAGAAAAAGTGAATAGCTTGCACTTGAAGTAATCCGGCGATACTCCATTAACACGAGTTGTGCTACATATCTCCTCAAAGGTGTCGACGTGATCAAGAGGATGCTCAGTGGGCAAACCATGGAATTGGTTTTGCTTCACCAAGGCAATGATCTGCGGTTTGATCTCAAAATCGTTCCTTGGAGGTAGAGGCGGTCGGATTGGATTCCGATCCATAAAGAAAGCATCGGACGAATCAAAGTCTCCCATAGTTTGGTGCCTTGGATGCTGCGCGTTTGGCACTCTCCTTGGAGGTGCGTGAGGTTGGTCTTGAGGCATCCCTTGGTTGTCACCGTGACGATGATGTCCATTTGCAAACGCCGGTGGTGGTCGCGGCGGGTTAAGAGGTGGCTGTAGCGGCTCAGCTGCATCGGGCGCGTTCGGATTGGGTGGAGGAACGTCTCTGGCCGGTGCTGGCTGGTCAGCTCTAGCTTCTGCTGGATTAGGAGGATCATTGGCTCTCCTCTCTTGGTCGGGCGGGTTGTGTGGCCTATTTGGCGCGCCTTCTCCGCCTGGATTCATTCTTTCTCTTCTTAGCGCCTAAGTGTGCGCTCAAGTTGGTCAATGTCAAGATCTTCTTCAATGGTTGTATTTGGATTGGACCTTCTTGTCATGCACCTTAGAAACACACAAAGAGAGAGAGTTAAGTAAAATTTTTATGAGTTTTTAAGATTTTATGAAAAACAAAAACAAAGAAAAGTGAAAGATGAGATGAGCTAGTCTTGAAATCAATCAAGAGGTGTGAAGGAAAAGCAACTCCTCCCCGGCAACGGCGCCAGAAAGCTTGATGGCGGGTTTAGATTGCCTCAAATTTTCACAATTTATAAACCCAACTAATGAGCTGCAAGTGCACAGCCGTGTTGTAGTCGGGGTCGAACACGAGGAGGAAGTGTTCTCACTTAACACCTTGTGAGATTGGTTTGTAGCTAGCTCGCAATATGAGATGGTTTTGGTACCTAGAATGAGAAAAAACAAAAGAAATGTGAAGTAGTTTGTAAACAATTTAAAACAAGATTAGTGATTGCGCTGCATCTATGGGATGAGTACAAGTAATAATTCCCTAAGACAACTAGTGTTGCAAGTGCACAACATATAATTGTAGTATTTAGGGGTCGAACCACAAGGGATTGGATTTCACACATTACATAATCATAGAGTTTAAAGACTAAGCTAAATCAAAAGATGCAAGGGTTTGTGTTTGTTTAGAACACGCAAAAGAAATAACAATGCAATTCTATACAAGCAACATTATTGAACTATTGAAAACTCTTTTGAAAACATGAGCCAAGTCGATTGAAAAGTTTGTTAAAATCCGATTCTTTTGAACTCAAAACACTAAGGAAGGATTATTCCACTTTCGTGGTTCCAATCCCCTATGTCTCTTAAACCAATGGGCTCAGCTTTCGTTGGTCATTGTAGAGTGAGACATGCATTACATCCAAGTAATGATTGTTCACAAAACTCTTTAGGTCTACTTTCGTAGCCTAAAACGATTTGCCCATCAAATATATATGTCCGGAGATATAACAAGCTTTTGGAGAGTATATCAACCTAAAATCAAGTCACTAGTTAGCTACTCTAGCAACAAGCATTAAGCATAAATAAAGATGGAGAACCATAGGGTTTCCCCTTTTAACAATCGATTCAAGATGGCCATTATATCACGTCCTCATTGGAAGGATCCATAATTCAACAATGAGTCTTAGATAGTAGATGAAGTCTCATGAATCCTTAGAGAGAGAGGCGGCGGAATATAGACTAAACCACGCCTCACCCTTAGGGAGAAATCTCTACTTCTAGACTATATAAATTGAAACATGCAAGCTATATACAAATGCAAAAGAAGAAAAGAAAGAAGAAGGAGACCACCTAAGTGGCTCCGAACTTTATTGAATAAGTGTTTCTTGTTATGCGGCTGGTGATTCTTATTACAAGAGGCTAAAAGCAAGTATATATAGGTAGAGAGCGGGTCTAGGTCGGCAAAGTTGAGCGCGCGCAGAAGAGGAAAGTTTCCATTTCTCTTTAGCCGCTTGAGCTTGCTCTCCAAGTTCTTGAATGGGCCGCGTTCAGGCCAATGGAAGCTTCTGGATTGAGTTATGCTAGTGTCAAGATGAGCCAAGGCCTTGGGCGCGGTATCTCGGGCCTCTTGATCCATCAAAGTCTCCATGGGCTCTACTTAGGCGCTCGTCGGACATGTCTTGGTAGAAAATAAGTTCCGGTCCAACGAGTGATCCAAATGACCTCTTTCCACTTCGCCGCGGGTCATGACTCAAATATCTATCTTTCCATATAAGAAACATGACTTTTGGACGTCGGGAAGGCATGAATATGCGGTCGTACTTCGGATGCTCCGGTTTGGTCTTTAGCGAGAAATGTAGATTTGGTGCTCTAGACTTGGGAACTTGGTGATTTGACTCTTTTTGCTCCATTTTGGACTCTTCTTTGCTATTTTGACCTGAATGATGCTCAAAACCAGAATATACAAGAAAACTACCTCTTGGGCATAAAAACCACATTATTTGTATTAAAAACATAGTGAAAACCTTGATAAAAACATGAAAGATATGGGTATATCAGTTAGGCAAAGGACAATCATATGGAGCAATGATGAAAAGATAGTTGCATGGGATGTGTGTAGAGCCGTCTTGAACATGAATCACTAGTGTATGGTCTTTCCACTGTCGTGGCTCCAACCACTATGTTTAAAACAACCTAATATACTCAGCTTTCGTTGGCTATTAGAATTGCAAACATGCATTAAAGGTGATCAAGATTCAATTGTTCACAATAAACCATAACTCAGCTTTCGTTGGCTATGATCTATTGCTCACCAAATACTAGTTTTGAGATCTAGATTCAGCACTGTCGTGGTTCTATTTCTCTAAGATCAGATTACTAGATGTACGGTAGAGTAATCATGCATTAAGCTCAAGTAAAGGTGAAGATCCATAAGATAAATCCCAATAAGTTGCAACACAATCAAATCATCACGGCCACCATAGATCTCCTCGGCCTAACTAAGAGATCTACTCGGCCATGATGCAAACAAGCAAGCAAAGCATGATTGTAAACATTATGCAAGTATTAAAAGAGATAAAGGGATGAAGAAAGCTTCTCTATTGATGAACAAAGTCGGATTCTCCCTTGAAAACTCTTAAAATCAAGTTTATAGAAATGGAAACAATGAAAAAGAAAGAACAAGAGTTGAGCGGCGCCTCCTTCTTCTTGGACGATCTCCTAGGGCTTCTCTCCTCTGAACTCTCTTCTCACACGTACACTCTTTGATAATTTTCGGACTCTCTTCTTCAGCGGCTAAAAACATGTATATATGGGCGAAGTCGCGTAGGGTTTTCTTCATGCCGGAAAAGGAAAGTTTCCCGTGAGCAAAGCCTTCTTCTCCACGTCGTGTATGGGCCGACATTGTACCAAGGAAAGCTCCAAACATTAGCCAGGCCTCTTCTCTATTCGATCAAGGCCTTTGGCGCTGCTGCTCGGGCCATTAGACACTCCAAATCCTCCATGGGCTTCGTTTGCTCGCTTACCGGACATGTCTCGGTAGAAAATAAGTCTAGGCCTCATAGTTGATCCAAATGGCTTCATTCCACTTCGACGTGATGCATGACTCAAGTATCTATCTTTCCATATCAAGATCGTAACTTTTGGACGTCGGGAACTCCTCCGCGCGCGGCCAAACTTCCGAAGCTTCGTTCTGCGCGCAAGCGAGAACTAACACTTGGAGATAAAATGATCTTCTTGACTTGGAAACTTGCATGGATCTTGATTTAGGGCTCTTTTACTCCTTTTTGCATCCTTTTTGATGGTTTCACCTACAAAGACTTCAAATCCCACAAATACAAGAAAACTACCTCTAAAGGCAAAGAATCTTGCAAAAACCGTTTGAAAACATAGGTAATATATAGTAAAATCATGTAAAATATGGTGATATCAGCTGTCCAGGGAAAGTCCGTTGAGGTCCTTGGTAATTGTTTTTCTGACTATACCCTTGTTGAGGAGCTTAACTCCATTGAGCCTGCTGTTGTTGTGGGTAAACCTGATCCTGAGGGTTGGCTACGTCTGCGTTCCTGTAAGACATGGCTGGATTGGTATTGTAGTTGTAATACCCTTTGTTGTAGCCTCCTTGTCCATTGGTCATGTAACAAACTTCAGCAAATTGTGTATCCTCCCCTTCTTGAACAGGAACTATCTCTTCAACAGTCACAAAATTGACCTTCTTCATTGTGGATTGAGCTCAGATAAGTTTATTCAACTTCTCATTCAGTGCTTTCACTTCTTTTCTCAGTTTGTCATCTGACTCGAGTGGTGGGTCAAGCTCCGGTTTGTGCGGTCATACTCCTCTCCATAACTCCCTTTTGAGTTAACAATGTTCTCCACAAGGTGCCAGCCGTCATCTACATCCTGATTGAGAAAGTTTTCATTCCTGGCTATGTCTAGCATCTCTCTGTATCTAGGCAAACATCCTCTATAGAGTGTCGAGAGAAAAGACTCATTGTTCCTCTGAGTGAAGCCTGAGATCTCACTCCTTAGCTTGGCTGTGCGCCCAGTTGAAAAGAACTTTGCAAGAAACGCCTTCTTGCACTCATCCCATGTGGTGGTTGTACCATGGGGCAGGCTCTTCTCCCATTGGTGAGCCTTGTCAGCAAGAGACATAGGGAAGAGTTTCAGCTTGATGACATCTTCAGAGACACCATTGATCTTGGTCAGATCACACAACCTATCAAACTCATCAAGATGGTCAATTGGGTCTTCACAAGACAACCCATGGAACATCTTGTTCTGCACCAGATTGATCATACCCAGCTTGATCTCGAAGTTGTGGCTCTGGACAGGAGGAGGGACAATCCCTTGTCTTTGTTGGTGGCGGTTTGGTGCATCTCCAAGCCCAATCGGTCTCGTCTGCCTAGCTCGACCATTTCCATTACCCAAAGGGTTTCCATTACCCTCAGGATCATTCATTGTATCAGTAACAACCACCTCTGACTCAACTTGTTGCCTCTGGCTCTTCTTTCTCTGTTTTCTGCCTATGTTGATGTCTAACTCGACCAAGCCTCTGTAGATGAGCTCGATCGAGTTCGCATACACCTGCAAAACAGTCAAAAACCCAGCAGTACAAGTAACAAAAGGTGGGATAGTGCTTGATCGTCTAAGTGATTTGAAAACTCAAATGCAACAATAACAAACCCAAATGGCAACGGCGCCAAATTGATGAAAGGATGTTACGTGGATGGTGATGAAAGTATAGTATGAGATGGACGCAAGTGAAGTGGAATGTAGATGAGATGGTATGGTAAACAGATGCAATCACAATCAATCAATTCCTCTTTATCATCATAATCATGTAGTATAAGAGGTTATCAATCCAAATGGGTAATTTGCTGCTCTATGAGAATATGCAAACACAAGAAAGTCAAGCCAATTGATTAAAGGATGGATGTAGCAACTAACAACCTAAAATGAAATGAAAATGCAAGAAACAAATAAATGCAAGGCAGCTCGACCAAGAGCTCGATCGAGTAGAAACAGAGTAACTGAGCTTGATTAAGTCGAGGGTCGAGTTAGCGTAAAAACAGAGGAAATGCAATGTAAAGCGATAAAGGTGCAAACTTTAAACTATTAAGACGGGGATTAGGGCTAAAGACAGGGTTTTGCAGCTCGAGAGAGGCTATACTAAATCAACCTTGCTCTTAAACATCTTGTACTCAAGCTATCTCTTGGTATTGAGCTTCTCAAGCCTAGCTAACCCTTTCCCAAGGTGAGAGCTATCATCCAAGTGATGCGGGTTTAGATTGCCTCAAATTTTCACAATTTTTAAACCCAACTAGTTGAGCTGCAAGTGCACAGCCGCGTTGCAGTCGGGGTCGAACACAAGGAGGAAGTGTTCTCGCTTAACACCTTGTGGTATTGAGTTGTAGCTAGCTCGTGATATTGGATGGTTTTGGACCTAAGATAAGAAAACAAAACAAAGAGAAATATGAGTGAGGTTGTAAACAATTTAAAACAAGAGTTAGGCAAAGGACAATCATATGGAGCAATGATGAAAAGATAGTTGCATGGGATTTGTGTAAAGCCGTCTTGAACATGAATCACTAGTGTATGGTTTTTCCACTGTCGTGGCTCCAACCACTATGTTTAAAACAACCTAATATACTCAGCTTTCGTTGGCTATTAGTATTGCAAACATGCATTAAAGGTGATCAAGATTCAATTGTTCACAATGAACCATAACTCAACTTTCGTTGGCCATGACCCATTGCTCACCAAATACTAGGTTCGAGATCTAGATTCAGCACTGTCGTGGTTCTATTTCTCTAAGATCAGATTACTAGATGTACGGTAGAGTAATCATGCATTAAGTTCAAGTAAAGGTGAAGATCCATAAGATAAATCCCAATAAGTTGCAACACAATCAAATCATCACGGCCACCATAGATCTCCTCGGCCTAACTAAGAGATCTACTCGGCCATGATGCAAACAAGCAAGCAAAGCATGATTGAAAGCATTATGCAAGTATTAAAAGAGATAAAGGGATGAAGAAAGCTTCTCTATTGATGAACAAAGTCGGATTCTCCCTTGAAACTCTTAGAATCAAATAGAAATGGAAATAATGAAACAAGAAAGAACAAGAGTTGAGCGGCGCCTCCTTCTTCTAGACGACTCCTAGGGCTTCTCTCCTGTCGGCTCTCTTCTCTGGACTCTCTTCTCACAAACTCACACGCTCGATCCTCCTTCTGCAGCGGCTAAAAACATGTATATATGGGCGAAGTCGAGTAGGGTTTTCTTCATGCCGGAAAAGGAAAGTTTCCATGAGCCGGGCTTCTCCTCCACGTCGTGTATGGGCCGGCATTGTACCAAGAAAGCTCCAAACATTAGCCAGGCCTCTTCTCTTTCGATCAAGGCCTTTGGCACGCTGCTCGGGCCATTAGACACTCCAAATCCTCCATGGGCTTCGTTTGCTCGCTTACCGGACATGTCTCGGTAGAAAATAAGTTTCGGCCTTATGGTTGATCCAAATGGCTTCATTCCACTTCGACGTGATGCATGACTCAAGTATCTATCTTTCCATATCAAGATCGTGACTTTTGGACGTCGGGAACTCCTCCGCACGCGGCCAAACTTCCGAAGCTTCGTTCTGCTCGCTAGCGAGAACTAACACTTGGAGATAAAATGATGTTCTTGACTTGGAAACTTGCATGGAACTTGGTTTGAGACTCTTTTACTCCTTTTTGCATCCTTTTTGATGGTTTCACCTACAAAGACTTCAAATCCCACAAATACAAGAAAACTACCTCTAAAGGCAAAGAATCTTGCAAAAACCGTTTGAAAACATAAATAGTTATATAGTAAAATCATGTAAAATATAGTGATATCACCAAGGCAGGATCTCAGAAACAGGAGGTCACCCAGTTAGATCAAGCCTTGGAGGCATTAGTATCATTGCTCAAACTAACCCATCCAACACCTATACACCCTTTTTCGAGAGGCAAGCATATTGGAGCTCTTAGTGGACTTTTTTATAGACTCATACACACCATGGTCAGTGGTTGTGCAGCCTTAAGCTTTGTCCAAAAGAGAGAGATTTTATATTAAGAACATAAAGCAAGAGAGATTAAGCATAAACAACCTCTAACAATCCCATCTTAAGCCTTAAAGAGAACTACTCACTTATCATGGCAAAATACTCAATCAAATGCAATAAAGTAGACATGGAAAGATAGAGGAGATGAAACTAAAGAACTTTTTTGAAATAACCAAGTGCAGAAATACAAAGATAGAGCATAGATCTAAGGTTCAAGAGCAAGAGCTCAAGAACACAAAGAGAGGCTAATGTTTTTGGAAAAAGTAAATTACAAAAATTAAAGCAAAAGCAAAACAAGATTAAGCTAAAGGAGAGTCTATTTTTCGTGGCTACAAGCCCTTAAATAGGAGATGGATTAGGTTTAGGGTCAAAGGGGAGTCAAAGGGAAGCAACATTTTTCAGGTTTGACTTTGACTCCTAGAATAGCAGCTCGATCGAGTTGAGTCTTGGCCGGTCCAGTTGGTGAACTCGACCAGTTGGTCGCGCAGGTGGTCGAGCTGGCTTCTAAGGCGACTTCCTTCTTCACTCCAAGCATGCACGGTTAAGCTGAGTCCATGCACAATGTCCTTCCTATCTCCTCACGTCCCCATTGCTCCATAATGCTCCAAATAGACCTAATTAAGGATCAAACATGCACATGTATGCAAATGCAACCTAAAACTACAATGTATGCATAAGAAAGGAAAATGAACAAGATATGATGCTAATGAATGCTAAAACGATGTAAAAGATATACTAAAACTATGTAAAATGCAAGTACATCAGTTTACCATTGCACTTATCCCACAATTCTTTGAATTCAGCATCACTTTCATACAACTCCTTTAGTAACTCAAAACCCACAATCTCATGTGTCAAGGTAATGAGTAAGGAAGCTCTTCTACTCAAAGCATCTGCTACCTTATTGAGAGTCCCAGACTTATGCTGAATAATGAATGGAAACTTTTGCAGAAAGCTTACCCATCGAGCATGCATCTTGTTTATCACTTTCTGACTATGAAGGAACTTCAGAGCTTGGTGGTCAGTGAACAAGATAAACTCTCTCTGAATCAAGTAATGCTCCCACTGCCTTAGAGCTCTAAATACTGCATAAAACTCTTGATCATAAGTACTCCATCTTTGGCGAGCTTCACTTAACTTCTCACTAAAGAAAGCTACTGGTCTTTTCTCTTGAGATAAGACAGCACCTATTCCAACTCCACTAGCATCACATTCAACTTGGAACACTTTATCAAAATCAGGCAATGCTAAGACTGGTGCAGTACATAGCTTCTCCTTAATTAAAGCAAAACTCTTGTCTTGTTCAGACCCCCAAAAGAATTTCCCTTTCTTCAAACACTCAGTAATAGGAGCAGTAATGGTACTAAAATCTCTAACAAATCTCCTATAGAAGGTAGTAGACCATGAAAGCTACGTACCTCAGTGACTGATTTAGGGGCAGGCCAATCCCTAATAGCTCTCACTTTCTCCTCATCAACCTGAATCCCTTCTTCACCAACAACAAATCCTAGAAATACCAGCTTGTTGGTACAGAAATGTACACTTCTTCAGATTAACGTACAACTGGTTTTCTTGTAAGACTTGCAAAACCTGCTTCAAATGATCCAAGTGCTCTTCTTTGGTCTTGCTGTAAATTAAAATATCATCAAAGTAAACAACCACAAAAGAACCAGCGAATGGTCGAAGAATCTGGTTCATCAATCTCATGAAAGTACTAGGAGCATTTGACAACCCAAAAGGCATCACCAACCATTCATACAATCCATCTTTGCTCTTAAAAGCTGTCTTCCATTCATCTCCAGGCCTGATTCGAATTTGATGATATCCACTACGAAGATCTATCTTTGAAAATATCTTAGAACCCGCCAACTCATCAAGCATATCTTCTAGTCGAGGGATAGGAAATCGATACTTGATGGTTATCTTGTTAATAGCTCTACTATCAACACACATTCGCCATTGGTTACCTTTCTTAGGAACAAGAAGGACTGGCACTGCGCATGGGCTCATACTCTCACGAATAAACCCTTTCTTCAGCAAATCCTCAATCTGTTCCCTTAAAATCTCATTCTCTTCGGACTCATACGATAGTGGGAAGGTTTGGTAAGCTAGAACCTGGAATCAAGTCAATATGATGTTGAATATCTCGCATAGGAGGCAGGTCATTTGGCAATTCATCTGCAGTCAACTCCTTGAAATCTTCTAGAATCTCTAACACTTCTTCTGGAGTTGTTGCTTCCTCATTCACCACACTCATTAACCCTTTAACTACCACAGGGAAGAAACATTTAGTTTCTTTGAAAGCTTCGTCTAGCTCCTTTTCACTATGTGTCATTACCAAGAAATTGGACTTCTTTTTCCCTGCGCTTTTATCAAAATCCAAAACAGGAGCCATAGCAATTTTATGTATTCCCCAAGTGAACAATATCACATTATCTCGTCCTCGATATGTGATATCATTATCATATTGCCAAGGTCGACCAAACAAAACATGACAAACATCCATGTCAAGAACATCACAAATTACCTCTTCCTTGTAGTGTTTCCCAATGGAGATGGGAACTTTGCAAGTCATTGTGACTCGAACTTGTGAGCCCTTCTTTATCCACCCAAGAGGATATGGGTTCTCATGTTCTTTTGTTGGCAACTTCAGAAAATCAACCAGCTTTTGAGAAACCAAATTCTCTGTGCTTCCATTATCCACAATCACATTACACACTTTGTTTTGAATTGAGCAGTGTGTTCTAAACAAATTCTTGCGTTGTCCTTCGTCCTTAGATGACAATAAGATTCTCTGAAGCACAATGTTTATCTTCTCATGTGACTCCTCTTCAGCAAATTCAACCCCTTCATATTCATCATCCTCATTAAACTCTTGTTCTTCGTCTTCTTCTTCTCCTAGCAAAGCAACAGTTCTTCTGCTTGGACAAACATTTGATTTGTGACCTTGTCCTTGGCAACGATAACACTTATCAAGAGATGGTTTAGCATAAGGATTATTCTGCCTTTGAGCTGGTGCTTTACTCTGCTGAGTAGTGGTAGAACTACTAGCTCCTTTATTTCCGGGTTGGGATCTTTGCTTACAACATTCTTTTCCTTTTCGTTTGCTGCCTCGTAGTTATTCTGAGGTGTAAACCTCTTGAATGAAGAAAAACTGCGAGTTGACTTCTCCATTAGCTCAGCCTTCAAAGCTAAACTAGAAGCCTCTTGCACAGTCCATACGGTCTGCAAACCAATTCTCTTGTATAGAGCTTCTTAAACCACTGATGTATCTAGCCACCTTTTGATTATCTGTCTCTCCTAGGTCATTGCGTTCAGAGAAACGCACAAACTCAGCTGTGTACTCTGTCACTGTTCGTTTACCTTGAACACATTCGAGATACATCTTGTAGAGAATCTGCTCATAGTCTTCTGGTAAGAACCGATCAAGCATCAACTGCTTCATTCTACGCCAAGTCTTGACTGGTCCTTTTCTTTGCCTTTGTCTTTGGACAACAAGTTTATCCCACCATACAGCTGCAGTTTTCTTCAGCCTGATTGCTACCATCTTAACTTGTTTTCTTTCAGGAACACCCATCACATCAAAGAATCTATCAACATCAATCTGCCAATCCAGAAACTCCTCCACTCCCATAGTTCCATAGAACAATGGAATATCAGCCTTTACTCTATAATCATGATTGTTTTGTCGATTCTCTTGATCAGCCTCTTCTTCGTCCTCAAGATCTTCATCATCAGAACTAGAGATTTCAACATTAACACCACGATTGTTTCCACCATGTTGAACCCTAACTGGCTCTGCGGCACGATTGTTTCTGCCCTGTTA